TAACTTTGTAAGTGTACAGACCGTTTAATAAGAAGATACTTTATGAAGACAGTTCACTTCATGTATACAGACAGGAGCCATCTTAAAAAATAGTCTCGATAAGTCAAACCACGAACGTCGTGCTGAGTGATCAGAACTGTATGAAGTTCAACGAACTTCTGAACTGTATGAACAGCGTTCGGGGATCGACTTATCGAGACTATTTTTTAAGATGGCGCCTGTCTGTATACGTGAAGTGAACTGTCTTCATAAAGTATCTTCTTATTAAACGGTCTGTACACTTACAAAGTTCTCAATGCTTCGTTTTGGATGTATGGAGCCTCATTATATTACTGCGTTAGTGTGGGGCTATTTTGAGCCTTGTTAGTGGTATAAACTAGTGATTTCTTTTTACTTAGTCAATGCCCCCATTACTAGCATTATACGCTAAACTGTTTTTAGAGATAAAACTCTTTACATTCGATTATCATGAAAACAAAACTCAGAGAACGGTTGACTAGGTACCGATGTTTTATTAGACCAAAGGTTCATTGTTCGCCGGAGTTCTCCTTTAATTGTTTAGTTGGTCTCGCGTCCCATTGAATAACATGGGGAGGCGGGGGTTATAAGCTATACTAGGACCGGTCACAGGGGGCGATCGAGACGTTTTGGCTTCACTTTTGAGGGCTTGTGCGGCACGCTTGGTATTACCAGGCTAGGCCAGATCTGCCTCGAGTGTGCACAGCTCAGACTACTGTCATAATCATTGCGGAGAGGCTCTGATAAAATGGCCGACTCGCACACTAGCTCCGCTTTTGATCGCACTGATTCAATGCGCTCTAACTCAAACATTTTGTATAGAAGCATGATCGTTTTTTTTTTTATTTAGGGATGAAGTATGACATGTCTGCCTTCTAGTTGAGTGGAGGTTGAACGAAATTTGACACCCAATTTGACAAAATTGGCCGTTTTATTCAGAGTAAACTCGACGTGGCACCTAGAGGGTTGAAGTTCCACAGTCATTTCATGTGCTGCACTTTATTTGTACCATTTTTTTTGTGTGTGGATCTATTTATCTTTTATAGAATTTGAATATCGTTTGATAAGCGAGATCTCTGATTGTAGTGCTTGAAAACCAAAAAAGTGGGACTTGAAAAGTCCTTGAATTTCCTTTGTCAGGTATCTCCTGCACGTGTTCATGGAGGCGGGCTGTCTGGAGTGGTGTGTGATCATCGGGCTGATCTTACGGGACGCCAGCGTGATCAAGCAGGTCGTGGGCTTCTTGGACAGTGCTGAGGTGCCGGCAGAGACGGTGCAGAGCATCAGAGCCGGGCTGATGGCCGTCGACCACTGGGTCTCCTCTGATTGGTCAGTAATACACAGCCGAGATGAGACGCATAATGATGAAGAAATAGTAGATTTACGCTACTGTTGAAAAGTTTAGGGTCGGCAAGATTTATTTGTTATTGAAAAGTCTCTTCTCATTTATTTGAGCAAAAATACATAAAATATAACAATTTTGTTTTCTATGGAAGTTTGTTTCTGTCCCGCTTTATAAATGAAAGGGATTTGACCCATAACTCATATGCATAATGTTTAAGAAGTTTCACTCCTTGATTAATGTTGCAATGGACGTGTTTATTTCATGATATACTCACTGACTTCCTCTCTGATGTCACTTCCTGTCAGCTTGGGCTACAAGCCGTTCCTGCACCTGATTGGCCCGCAGCTGCTGAAGCTCTCAGAGGTTCCCGAGGAGCCGGTTCAGCCGGAGCCGTTCCAGCCGAGCGGGGACTCCGAACCCGAGCCCAGAGCCGAGGACACACGCGGGGTCGTGACCTCTGCCCACCCGCTGCGACCCCGTGGGGTCGTGACCTCTGCCCACCCGCTGCCCTTGGACGGCCCCTGTGGTGCCAGCGCTCGACCCCTGGAGGACACACCTGAGGAGCCTGAGCAGCAGGAGGCCCTGGAGGAGGGGGCGTACGACTGCACACTCTCATGAGTGTGTGAGCCGCTGGATGAGGCCTCGTACGACTGCACACGTGTGTGTGTGTGTGTGTGTGTGTATTGTCAAAAATACTGACTTCGGTATGAAGTCTGTACTGAAATGAGCGCTGTTGAGCGGATTCATAAACACCTCTGATTGGCTGTTGTGTTCACACACTCATCAGATATGTCTGATTGGCTACAAGGATCAACGCATGGAAGAGTTTGAAAACACACGCATGACCGATCCGCTGATAGACGCCTGCGCTCGCTGAAGAGCCTCATTGATGTACAACGGTTGCGAAAGCGCTGATTCTTGTAGCCAATCACAGACATATCAGATGAGCTTGTGAACACATCGGCCAATCAGAAGTGTTTATGAATCCACTCAACAGTGCTCAGTCACAATTTGAAAATTTCAGTACCAACTTGATACCAAAGTCAGTACTTCTGACAACACTAGTGTGCGTGTGTATGTGTGAGAGAGCCGCTGGACAAGGGTTCGTACGACTGCACACTCTCATGACCCGTCTGTGCTGCTCCGTGACCAGTTACACGTGTGTGTGTGTGTGTCTTTATATTTGATTTCGGCTCCTCCTGACTGCATTGTTGTGTGTGTTTTGCAGTGTTTTCTCCATCCTCTGGTCAAATGCGTCGTCATCATGTTTTTTTCTCTCTTCACTTTATAGTTTAAACACTGCAAAAAACAAATGATTTGGTATTATTGTCTTATTTTGTTTTTGTATTTTCCAGCAAAAATATCTCAATTTTCTTAAATGGAGATCATTTAGTGGAGAAGAAGCAGAAAGACTGAAGATGAGTTTGAAACACCAGAGATGTGTTCTGTTTTAAGCATACACTTCTCTCTGATGAGATATTAATACTGTTTTCAGATTCAAAATGAAGTCCAGGCGTAATCAAACTATATATTATTTATTTGTTAACATTATTTAACAACCAAGATGAAAAAAAACTCTATTTCTGATATTGTCATTATTAAATGTGCAGCGTTTCATCACTATTTTAGATAAATTAAATTTGAACATGGCTGTGTTTATTGTAAAACTCTGCTGGAGATATTTCTGCTGGAAAACAAGACAGAAACAAAATTCAAGATAAGACAAAATTAGTTTTTTTTTTTGTTTTTTTTTTGCAGTGTCGTTAGCAACCAGCTTTACACCAAATCATGACTTTATAAAACACAGTGTCAAACACTCACTCATCCACACACACGTTTCTCCTTTCATGAGTCCGATGTCGTGCTTATCACAATGATTTTGTTTTGTTTTTGCTCTGGCTTCATGTTTTAAAGTTCATCATGAAATATCAGCCCTTGTTTTATTAGATGAAAATCTATATCTGAGGAAGACTGACTCGTTTGACCCTCGTTGACCTCAGATCTCCACCGCGTGTGTTTGTGTGTGTCGCAGGGTTACTGCTAGCTGTTTTTAAGGTGTCCTCTCCTCCTGCGCTCGTGTCCTGGCGGGAACGAAACGTTATTTATTCATCCGCTTCGCTTTCACAGCCAGGACAATTACACGTTATTAATCGGACACGTGCAGTTTGTCATCGCTATATCCCGACTGACAGCGTTATTTCTGTTTCTTCTGAATTGTTTCAGTTTTACGTTTATTTATTTGAGGAGCATATGGACAAAGAGACGGACGTTTTCTTTCGTTTCAGGGAGTGATTTGTGTGTGTTTTCTCTAATCTCTGAAGGGCATCAGTATTAAACGAGTGTTCAGTGTTTGTCTTCAGAACGGACCAAATCATCTACGCTTATGGAATGCCTTTGTATTATGATTATTCTTCTAGTTATTCTAGTTCTTATGCATCATTGACGGTCGTCGTCTGAGTATTTAGCAGCTTTAATGAGATGCATCTTTATTTTAATGTTTTATTTCCCCCTGGACAGCTCAAATGAGCTGTTTAAACTAGTCTGAGGCGGTTTAAACCGGTTCAAACCAGCTGACAAGTGCCCGAATCCCAGTCAAACCAGCGGCTGCTGCTCCTCCTGACGCAGGTTCATGTCCTCCTCACGAGGAACATATGCAGTGATGATCATGATATTCACAAACCAAAGAGCTTCTGGATGTGTGTGAGATTCACTGACGTGTTCACGGTACAGATTACCCACAATCCCTCTGTCCCGCTGACGTCACTGGACTGATGTTGAGCTGGAGGGTTTTATCTGGACGTTTCTTCTCCATGAAGTGTACAGAGAGAGTTTGCTGTACAATAACTTTTCTACTCAGTTTTCTATATTTCCTGTACATAAAGAACAATAAATTATTTTTTAAACATCACGTGTGCTGTACGTTTGATCAGTTTCCCGGTGTCTTCATGTGGAGTCAGGAGACATTCATACTTTTATTCATCAGACTCATTAACTGGATCAAAATTGGCATTTATAATGTTACAAAAGATTATATCTTGCAGTCTCCATAAACATATGAAGCTGTTTTCAACACTGATAATAATCATAAATGTTTATTGAGCATCAGGTCATCATATTAGAGTGATTTGTATTTGTGAAGGATCATGTGACACTGAAGAGCAGATAAATCCAGCTTTGGTGAGCAGAAGAGACAAAACATTTCAAATCCTACAGAGCCTTAACTTAACTATTAAAATGTTTATATATTAATAAAATAGCTTCAAACTTAGTAAAAAAAAATCTTCAAATTGTTGATTAACTGAACAAATTAAGGGGGAAAATAGACAAACGACAGGAGACAAATGATTTTGTTATAGAAAATTGATTTGTCTTGCAAGAAGAGTTTAGTGCAGCTTATGATATTATAAAATAACAATCAGAACCAGACAAATGAAAACTTTCACGGAAATCTGACAATTATTGAACAAAAATACTTTTGTGATTTGTGGATGTCAAAACAACAGTTTGAATCATAAAATGTCTTTCAGAATATGACAAACCGTTCATCTTTACAGATTTGAGTCACATTTTATCCTTAATTATTCAGAGTGGATGTTATTGTGTGTATAATTGCTTTAGTTTGTCAGACATGCAAATGTAATGAACACCTGGTTTATTAGTCAAAGCTCCCGTAAGATCATGGATTAATACACGTTTCAGAAGAACAAAATAATTCTCATTGAACATCGACTTCATCCCAAATAAAAACACAAAAGCAGGTTATTATAATAATCAACAGCATTAATCAAACATTCACTAGCTTATCAGTTTATTTCCTTTGAAATCTCAGACAAAGAACCACTTGTTTGATTTGAAATTAGATTTTACAATGAAAAAGTGCTCGATTCATTAGACAAAAGCAGCTCATCAAACCCAGAACAACGTCAAATAACCATCAGAAATGTAATTACAGCAGCATTAATAATAATAACTAGAAAAATTGCATTTCCTGCGGAATATGCGTGTGAATGCTTCAAAAGCTGAACTGAAATGCTTAAAAAAAAAAAAAAATATTGCAGTTCAAACAACAGCAAAACAGAGCAAAAAAGAAAAAAAGCTTAATTCAAATGCATTTAATAAGCTGAAATGCAAAACAAGATCCAAAAAATTGTAGAAAACTACAAGTTTACTTAGAGAGGTAAAGAGAGGTAGAGATGTAGACACAGAGGTAAAGAAATATAGGGGTAGAGAAAGAGACAGAGGTAGAGAAGTAAAGGAGTACAAAAAAGAAAGGTAGAGAAAGACAGGGGGTAGGTAGATAGATAGATAGATAGATAGATAGATAGATAGATAGATAGACAGACAGACTGTAGATAGATGGATAGATAGATAGATAGATAGATAGATAGATAGATAGATAGATAGATAGATACATAGATACATAGATAGATAGATTATTAGAAAGAAAGAAAGAAAGAAAGAAAGAAAGAAAGAAAAGAATTAGTTAGAAAGAAAGATGGATTTAAAAGAAAGAAAGAAAGAAAGGATTAGTGAGAAAGAAAGAAAGGATTAGTGAGAGAGAAAGAAAGAAAGGATTAGTTAGTTAGAAAGAAAGAAAGAAAGAAAGAAAGAAAGAAAGAAATATGGATTAGAAAGAAAGAAAGAATTAGTTAGAAAGAAAGATGGATTTGAAAGAAAGAAAGAAAGAAAGAAAGAATTAGTGAGAAAGAAAGGATTAGTTAGTTAGAAAGAAAGATGGATTTGATAGATAGATAGATAGATAGATAGATAGATGGATGGATTATTAGAAAGAAAGAAAGAAAGAAAGAAAGAAAGGAAGAAAGAAAGATGGATTAGGTAGAAAGAAAGAAAGAAAGAAAGAAAGAAAGAAAGAAAGAAAGAAAGATGGATTAGGTAGAAAGAAAGAAAGAAAGAAAGAAAGAAAGAAAGAAAGAAAGAAAGAAAGAAAGAAAGAAAGAAAGAAAGAAAGAAAGAAAGATGAATTAGGTAGAAAGAAAGAAAGAAAGAAAGAAAGAAAGAAAGAAAGAAAGAAAGAAAGAAAGAAAGAAAGAAAGAAAAAAAGAAGGATTAGGTAGAAAGGAAGAAAGAAAGATGGATTAGGTAGAAAGATAGATAGATAGATAGATAGATAGATAGATAGATAGATAGATAGATAGATAGATAGATAGATTATTCAAAATAAAGAAAAAGAAAGAAAGAAAGATAAAAAGAAAGAAAGATTAGTTAGAAAGAAATATGGATTTGAAAGAAAGAAAGAAAGGATTAGTAAGAAAGAAATATGAATTTGAAAGAAAGAAAGAAAGAACAAAAGAAAGATAGATAGATTATTAGAAATAAAGAAAAAAGAAAGAAAGAAAGAAAATAGATGATAGATAGATGAAAGAAAGAAAGAAAGCAATGATTAGTAAGAAAGAAATATGAATTTGAAAGAAAGAAAGAAAGAAAGAATTAGTTAGAAAGAAAGATGGATTTGAAAGGATGAAAAAAGAAAGAAAGGATTAGTTAGAAATAAAGAAAGGATTAGTTAGAAAGAAAGAAGGAAAGATATATTGGTTAGAAAGAAAGACAGATAGTATAGTTAGAAAGAAAGAAAGATTATTTAGAAAGAAAGAAAGATAGATCAGTTAGAAAGATAGATAGTATAGCTAGAAAGAAAAGATTATTTAGAAAGAAAGATAGATTATCTAGAAAGAAAGAAAGATAGATTAGTTAGAAATATAGATGGGTTAGATAGATAGATAGATAGATAGATAGATAGATAGATAGATAGATAGATACACAGATAGATACACACATAGTCTATACATAGATAGATCATTATAGATCATTTGGACACAGAAAGTCAAATAGTTAAGACAGGCAGATGGATAGAAGAGGATAAAAGGAAGAGTAGAAAGGAGAAGAGATTATGAAAGGAGGGTAGAATAGGAGGACAGGAGGAGTAGAGGATTGGAGGAGGAGAAGAGGAGGGAAGAGAGAGGGAGAACAGGAGAAGTAGAGGCATAAATGCAACAAAAACTTGTAGTATCCTTCAGAAAAGAGCTGAGTGACTGTCCACCAATCAGAACACAGGACCAATTATGTGTGTCTCCCTTTGATCTTTGCTAATCAGCATCACCTGTGCAATCAGCTTTCCTATTTAGACAGAGGCCAAAATTGCTGATACTTGGCCTCGAACAAACCTCAATAGAGACAAAACTATAGGTTGTATTGGCGAAATGACCTGACCGTGAGCGAGACAAGGCCTTTGTGAACGATGTGATGTATTTTTTTTGTGGATAGAGTTAAAAAAAGGGACCACTTTGGCAAGTTAAAAAACTGGTTTGTATTGCTCTGATCACAAAAGTTTGACCTGAATTTATAATTGCTGTCAATGGAGGAATGTCTGTCACTCTTGTCCTTTGGAAGGACACAGTGAAAAAACTATAAGTCCCAGGGATTTACTAAACACATGAGAGGAACCACAACAAAAATACCTACGTTTCAAGTATAATTTTATGCCCAAAGAGTGAAAATTGTGGCCAGGCCAGCGATTTAAAAATTATTTTTTAGCATTAGGTTTCAAGCTGGCTCACTCTAGCACGTGCTCTAGCTCTGAACAGTCTCTCTCATTCACTCCCATTATAATTTCAGAAACGGGTTGAAAAACATCATGAGACTAAAGTAGAGATTGTGAAAAAAGTATAATAGATATCAAAAAGTTGAATACAACTTTAATAGCTTACAAATTTCTCAACATTTTAAAGTTTAAATGACAGAAATAGCTGAAAGTATGCAGAAGTTGTAGGCTTTGAAAGCAGAAGGAGCATAAAACAGAATTTGAAAAATTCTCCATTGACTTCCATGTTAAAAAATATGCACAAAAAGTTTAATAATTTAAAAAGTATAAAGGTTATAAACAAGAAAAGTAATAGCACACATGTCCTTGAAAAGCTGCACATTTTGATACTTGAATGGTTTTTGTAGCACAAAGTAGAGAGGAGAAGAAAGCGACCGAAAAACGTACGGAAGAATACGGAATAATAATAAGAAAGATTTGGATTTCAAGAGTGTGAATGCTTGAAGCATTCACACTAATAATGTGGTGACACTTTATAATAACGTTCCCTCTGTTGACTACATTCATTAATGCGTGTAATAATCTTAACTTTACTTTCAAAGTACCATGTATTAATGCGTAAAGCCACAGTAACGTTTGTTTATATCTCTTGAGCGTATGTTTTATGGGCAATAGAATAATAATATTATTCATATTCATTCGCAGAGCTGAAGCACAACCACAACAATGTTCTTCTGCAACATACGTGCAGTTTTACTTGAAACCACTAGAGGGCCACAAGTTAACATTATGAAATGCACAAGTTGTGTTAATAAATGCTGTAAAAATGTTGTTAGCGAGTGTATCGTAACTAACAGATGGGACGTTATTGTAAAGTGTGAGTGAAACTGTCAGTTTACTCTCTCAAAAGAGCTTGAAATCGTTCAGATGTACTGAGATCAACATTCATCGGTAAATCCAGTTCAATCCTGTCGCACGAAATCTTTATTACGAGAAGAACCGTTCAAACAGCAGGAACTTTCCAGCTCCTGCAACTCAAGTAAAGCTGCAGTAACTTCATCGTCAGTCCAATACAGACTCTGAAGTTTGGATTTACTGCAGTAATAATAATAATAATAATAATAATAAAAGAATTTAAGACTTCAAATCCAGTTCAATCCAGAAGAAGCTTGATCATTCATTCATCATTATCATTCAAAAATGATACAAAAAAAAAACAAAACAACAATATACAAATATGAACAATTGTCCAATGCTTAAAAAAAAAACACGAATCAATAAAAAAAGCACTTGTGATTGAAGTTTTTGCATGTTTGTTAGGATGAATGACCGTCATCATAACGAGATCACCGACAGGAAATGACATCAGGATTTGCTGACTCGTGATGTCGTGATTCGGTGAAACCGCTGCCGTTGAATCTCTCATTGTGTGCGTTCCATTGGAACCAGTGAATCTCTCAGACGGAGAGAAGAGAAACTACAAGACTTGCCGAAACCACAAACCCGCTGAGTCACATGACCACAGAAACACTGAGAGCCAATCCCGAGAAACCACTCGAGATCATGTGACCGTCACATTTAACCTCAAAATCGCGTTATTTTTATGACAATTAAACATGAATTTTTGTAATTAAAAAAAAAATGAATTGTATTATTTAAATTTCAAAGTATTAATAAATCATGGTAGCGTTTTTAGTTATACTAGTATATATTTTTTTGTTTGTTTTTTGTTTGTAATTCTTATTATTTCTGTCATGGCATTTATTATGAAATTATTAAAACTAAAACTAAAAATGTAATTAAAACTAAAAGTAAATGAAATCATTATAAAAAAAATCATTTTTTGTCACTGAAACAATGAAAATTCCAAAAAAAATAAAAATAAAATGTCCCAAAAAAATTTTCAATGATAATTAAACACTTTTTATCCCTAAGTAAAAATCATTTACTGATTTAAAGTAGTTTAACTTATTTTTTTCCTTTTGATTTTGAGTTGAAATATGACCCAGACAAATAAAATAAATAAACACTGTGCGTTGGTTGATGTGAATGAAGGAGCTTGTAGGGTCCACAGTGAGTGGTTTCTGTGTGTGTGTGAGAGAGTGTGTGATCAGGGCCCTCAGTATCTGTACATGTGGTATGTGCTGATCCATGAGGATGGGAACGTCCAGTCAGGGAATCTCTTCAGGAACGACTCGAGCGGGTCGGAGCGTCGGTCCGGACCGGAGAAATAATGAGCGGACACGGCCAGAGAGATCGAGCCCTCGTCAGGAGACGCTTCTGAAGCTCTGGGTGACTGAAGACGAGACACACACATCACGCACACTATACACACCTCCCAATCACATAAACTCACACCTCCTCATGTTAAACCTCACACTATACACACACTCCTCGTGTTAAATCTGTGGTTCCTGAGCTCTAACTCACCTGGATCTCGAACCAGAAGCTCCAGGCCGGAGCGTGGAGGCCGTGGGAGTAGAATATGAAGTATTCCCCGCTGAGGTCGAACTGGGGCGTCCCGTCACCGAATGACCACCCGCTCAGAGACACGTCGGCATCAGGCAGCAGATACAGGGACATGTGGGTCGGGCCTGAGACAGAACAACAGTGTAAACGTAGAGATTATTCTTCATTATTAACAGAGAGAGTGTTTGTGAGTCTGATCTTAATGAATCAAACACACACAGGATTATTAAATGCTGCTGATTATTTCCTTTTATTCTCTAAGACAAATATATTTTTTGGATGAATGCATGTTTTGTATGTATATGTGCATGTATATATATTTATATGTATGTGTGCATGTATATAAGTTTGAATGTATGTATGTATGCATGTATGGTTGTATGTATGTGTGCATGTATATATGAAGAGTTCAGATGCAAAAGCCTCTAAGTGCCATTTGAAATTTTCTTCTAGAATGATCATTTTTATCAAGCTTGTATATTTATGTTCAGTAATTTCACTTAAAAGGCAATGAAGATCACCAATAATTGTCATTTTAGTGAAATTACTGAACTTAAATATACAAGCTTGATAAAAATGGTCATTTTAGAAGAAAATTTCAAATGGCACTTAGAGGCTTTTGCATCTGAACTCTTCATATATGTATGTGTGCATGTATATATGTTTGTATGTATGCATGCTTGTATGTATATATGTATGTATGTATGTTTGTTTGTATGCATGTATGTTTGTATGTATTTATGTTTGTATGTATGTTTGTATGTATGTATGCATGTTTGTATGTATGTTTGTATGCATGTATGTTTGTATGTATGTATGTATGTATGTATGTAAGTATGTATGTAAGTTTGTATGTATGTTTGTATGTATGTTTGTATGTATGTATGTTTGTGTGCATGTTTTGTATGTATATGTGCATCTATATATATATTTGTATCTATCTGTACATGTATATACATGTATGTGTGCATGTATATACAGTATGTTTGTATGTATGCATGCATGTTTGTATGTATGTATGTATGTATGTTTGTATGTATGTATGCATGCATGGTTGTACGTATGTATGTATGTATGTATGTATGTGTGCATGTATATATATGTATGTGTGCATGTATATATGTTTGTATGTATGCATGTTTGTATGTATGTTTTGTATGTATGCATGTATGTATGTTTGTATGTATGTATGTTTGTGTGCATGTTTTGTATGTATATGTGCATGTATATATATATATATATATATATATATATGTATGTATGTGTGTATGTATATATGTTTGTATGTTTGTTTGTAAGTATGTATATTTGTACATGTATGTATGTACGTCGCAGGACCTACACCCCTCCCCTGATAGATGGGACGCCAGTGGAGAGGGTGAGTAGCTTTAAATATCTCGGAGTGCACATTTCTGAGGATTTATCGTGGGCTGTACACACGGATACTGTGGTGAGGAAGGCAAGACAGCGCCTTTATCACCTCAGACAGCTTAGGAGATTCAGGGTCTCCCAACGGATCCTGATTTCCTTCTACTATGCTGCTGTACAGAGCATACTGACAGGAGCCATATCTGTCTGGTACGGTAACAGCTCCTGCGGGGACCGGCGAGCTCTGCACAGGGTGGTGAGGACCGCTGAGCGGATCATGGGCATCACACTCCCTCCTCTGCATGACTTATACATCACACGCTGTACTACCAGGGCCAGAACGATTATCAAGGATCTCCATCACCCTTGCAATAAACTGTTTATAACTCTTAGGTCAGGCAGACGCCTGGGGAACAGTTTTTTCCCTGCGGCAATAAGACGCCATTTACACCTGGTATTAAAATGCGATCTGTATCCAGATAAGTTATCCGGATAATAAAAAAAACGCATGTTAATGCAAAGTGTAAATGCGTTGTGATCGGATCTGCCTGACCACATCTGGAGGTAGTCTGGCTCGCATTGTGTCCGGATCTTTACTAGGTGTAAACGCAATCTGGTTGTTGAAACCACATATGTATATATTTTACTCCTCCCAAAAATGCGAGTGAGAGCGTGTTATATAGGCTATATGTCATGTTATAGTCAGATATGACGGCGCTACTGCGACACGCATCACCTCAGATGAGCAGAGCGTCTATTCATCAAGCCAACGTGCAAACATCGCAAATAAAAGTGAAAGTAAGTCACAGACGCTTAACACACAATCATCTTCAAGTAAAGAAACGAAATTATCTTACCAGCGCTGTTGCCACTCTTTTATTGATGTCTTTGATTTGGAAATTAGCTGATGATCAACGAAATGCAGCTCAAATCTGTTGCTTTTGGTGGCGTGCAATCCATTAAATCTGGATATAACGCGGGAGTTTAAGATCGGATTTATATCCGTTTTGCAAAAACACATTTATGTGGCCAGGTGTAAATGGAATCGGTACTTATTATCCGGATAACTTGTCTGGATACAGATCGCATTTTAATGCCAGGTGTAATTGGGGTCTAAGAGCCTTGAATTCTGCACTCTGAACATTTTTAACTTGAATTGACTTTCAATTTTTAACCCAGCCACTGAAGTTTAACATTTGTACATCTGTCAGTCTAGTTTTAACTTATATAACTTTATTGTATTGTTTTATTGTATTCTTATTTTCTACTGAGCACAGAAGTACAGTACGTCACAAAAACATTTCACTGCGTATGAGTATTGTATATTGTGTATTGTATGAGTATGTGACAAATAAAACCTTTGAACCTTGAACCTTGTAAGTTTTATGTATGTATGTTTCTATGTATGCATGTATGCATGTATTTATAAATGTATGTATGCAAAAATGTATGTATGTCTATGTATATATGTATAATATATGTAAAAAAAGCACTATATAAATAAAGATGATTTGTACATGGATGCATGTATATATGTATGTATGGGTGTGTGGATGGATGGATAGATTTATGCAGGGACGTGCACAGGAATTTTGAGGGGCAGTTGCTCTGACCTGAAAAAAGGGCACCCCCCCCCCCTCCTCCCCCCTCCCCCCTCACGGGCTATATGAAGGAATATATTCAGTTGAATTTGTCCCCTTCCAAATTGCTTTATCTGGCCGTGCTTATGTCCAAACGCAATGCCTCATCTTATGGTCTTATAATTATTTATAAAGATTGCAAAATGTCAGAGATGAGACAAATGAGCAAAAGAGTTCTTCATATTGTTGTTTATTGTTTTTTTAAATTATTTATTTATTTATTTATTTGAAAAGAAATAATCTGGATTGAATGGAAAAAACTCGAAAAAATAAAAAACGCTTTGATTTCGGGAAAAAATACAATTCTTTTTTTTTTTGCCAATCCTGACCTCCCCCTGGGGCCCTAAGCAAAATTCTGCTAAGGGGACCTCTACCTGATCTGTGATGCCGTGAGCCATGTAAACCATTTGCCATTGCCACTCAATACCGCCCAATACAATCCTCCCTCCTTTAAACAAAACAGTCAAAGAACAAGTACAACAATATAGAACAGAATGAGGTTCAAACAAACAATATTTACTGAATAAAGCATTTTTATAGAATGTTAAGATAACATTAACATTCACATAGCTAAGTGAATATTAACATAAACAAGAAGAAAATAATAAAGTACAACCCTGAACTTTGGCTTTTGGGATTGACTTTGGTTCTCTCTACAGCCAGGGTATTTTCGGAATCAGTAGCCTATGATTTTTATTTAATTTTTTTTTTTATGCATGTTAAAGCAAATCTTGATTTATGGTTATTTACTGAGGGATTTGCATTCATATTGACCAGAATGTCCATCTAATCATCATTTTAAATTCAATACAGCCTATAAATCAATCAATCAATGTCAAATTGCCAATACATTGGTTTATATCTTGCATAATTAGTGCAGTTGTTTAGAGTTTTTAACTACACTGAGACTAGATAATCAGTGTCTTTATAATGTGTACTTTGATTGGAAGTGCCATCATTCACGTATTGTACAGTATTTCTCTGGTCTCCACATTTCTGCTTGAAAAATGCGAGTTTCATTTCGTGCACGCGCATATGAACGCAACACACGCGACGCGGTTATGTTTTCCGAGCTGCAGTAAACAAACACTGTTGTTGCACTTTGTCATTTATCAAAAACAAAACGCAATAAATAATGGTATTTTACTCTCACTTTTGTCAGGCAAAAAGTGATGCAAGAGATGCACTGCCTGCCCAGACAAACCATCAAACTTTGCTGACACTAGAGAGGACAGAACACAAGTTTACCTGACTGCTGTTCCCGCAATTCACTCTCATGTTTTTCTTCTTCCTCTTTTCGTGACGAGAAGGATAGTTTCGCTTCATTTTGTCATGGACTTCGTTCACATTAATTAGCGCACGACACGAGATGGAGGCGCGGCCCGAGTATTTGCGGTGCCTTAGGCTACCACCGGTCGCGTGCAGTCTATGGTCTCGTGGAAACAGTTTGACTTTCAATTTTTTTTTTTTTTTTGGAAGTGAATGAGGCTTTTTTTATATTATTTTTTGTCTAGGCCTACGTGAAATTCTACATCCATTGTACGTTTTTTTTTTTTTTTTCCTCAGAAGGGCAACCTGAGTCGAGAAGGGCATATGGGCAGTTGCCCGGGCAACCTGAGCAACCCCCCTGTGCACGTCCCTGGATTTATGTATGGATGGATGCATTTATATATGGATGAATGGATGGATTTAAGAATCGATGGATGTATAGATGCACGTATGTATGGATAGATGATGAATGGATGGATTAACGGATGAATCTATATAATTCTAAAACAGTAATATATATATACACGTATATATATATATATATATATATAATTAATTTTTTGAGGAATATCAACATTCATTATTATATTTCATGAAAATCCTATTAGTCTGAAGTCTCACCTTTGACCTCAAAAGTCATTTTAATGCTTCCCCATTCTGTCACCTCTCTGGATAAGAGCCGGAACTCCAGCGGAGCTTCAGGAGAGACTTCAGGAGCCGGGAGATACCAGTTCTTCCTGAAACAGGGAGAGAAAGACATCATGAAGTTCAACCTTCCGGTCTCTCTCTCGAATCAATACTGAGGTGGCGTAAACTGCAGTTTCTCCACTGGCCACTAGAGTCAATCCCATAGACCCGCATGTTAAAATGACCAACTTTACAGCAGAAATAAACATGTTTACAGTCTGGAGCAAAAAGTGGTTTTGGTCTATATAGATAATTTTGTCCATCACGAAAACTGTGAGAAGGATGAATGTTTTTATAACTCATCTGTTTAAAGGTGCAATGTGTAACAAAGTTGAGTATCTATTAACAGAAATGCAATATGACATCCATAACTATGTTTTCAGTGGTGTATAAAGAACTTACTTAATTAGTCGTAATGTTTTTATTACCTTAGAATGAGACATTAATGGCTCCATAACCGAGGGAATCCCCTTCTATGAAGGTCGCCATGTTGTGACGTCATATTCCTACCGTAGCCGAACGCGAACAAACAGCGTTACAGAACGCGTTTCATCACTACCTTGAAAGAGAAGTAGCGGAAAGCTGGAAGCTAGCCTTACACTCCGTGAGTAGCGACTTTTCCCTTGTGAGTGGTGTAAAATATGTAGTTGGGATTGTTTTATGTAACTTAGTTCTCCCTCGCTGTGTTATGGGTTTGTTATGTTGGGGATAGATGTGCTGTTACGTTCGTGAGACAGCTGATGATTAGTATTCATGTCATTGACCGTAAAACAGTACGTTACAGGAATCACTAACCCGTCGATAGAGACTTTTACTAAAGTCTTTTATCACTAAAGTCGATCGCGAAGAATTTTAAAAATCAGAGAAAAAAAGCCTATTGTGTGTAGTAAATAGTATCTATGGGATGCGGAGATGACATGATTGTAACAGCGCGCGCACTTCCGACCTTTGGACTCATGCGATGCGGACGCGTCCCAGCTCAGCCACAGCAACAGCTCATATTAGCCAGCTAAACTATTACTACCCTGTTAGAAAAAAATATATAGCTGCTCCCTCGCTGTATTATGGGTTTGCTACAGTATGTGTGGAGAAATGTGCTGCTGGTTACGTTTGTGAGACAATCAGCTGATTATTATTTTATTAAATTATATATTAAAACCCTTGATCCTCACCTGACTATGGCTTTGTAAACAGACAGTATTCATGATGTGGTTTATAATGGACTGTGGTACAGAAACAGTGACAATGTTACACACTCTTGGCTTACTCTGGCTATTCTCTGCTGTCTCAGCCGACGAGATGTTTGTCCCGTTTTAGCAACCGTAGCTTCTTCGAAAGGGAGGGGTGAGCCCTTAGTGCAAACCTGGTGCAAACTCGCAACCGAACCACTAGATGTCGCTAAAAGTCACACATTGCTCCTTTAAATTATATTAAGCCTTTAAAGTTCTGCATAATTAAGGGTGACAGGTGGATTGCCGCTAATGTACCGCATATGTAGAGAATCGAGGCGAATCAAACACAACTTAATCAAATTAATCTCTCATGGGATTAATTCACATGGCTTCAACACTCCAAGTTCTGGAGCCCACATTCCAGAGTCACGGAACGACTCCGTGCTGTCTGCAGATAAGGACTTTTATTGCCCCACAGGCCCAAGAGAGGGGCACTAAACAGGACGAACGTGTCAATATGGTAATGTTACTAAGACAAATCTGCTCCAAAATGGTGGAACGAGATGCTCACATCAAAGACCCCTCTGATGCCCTGACAGAGATGTTCCACAGAACACCTTTGCCTCGTCCCCCTTCGAGTTGAACTCTCAGTAACCTTACAATTGAGATCAGAGATCTCACACATAAAATCATATAAACTCACCACAGAACAATTCTTGAACTTTTAATCAAACCTCACAAGTCTCATTGCTTTCTGCAATTCATGTGTTGTTTGTTAATGCTTAGATCACATATGAATCATGTAATTGTTGTTAACTATTAACTCTTGTAATTGTTATACAACCATTAGAAGTGTGAATGCCTCATTTACTCTTAAACGAATCGTATTCTCCTAATTCAAAAGATGGCTTGATTGAAATCTGCGTAAAAGGTTTTGTTTTATTATTATAATTATCATAAGGTTAAAACGATGGTCTTTTGTCTCTGCTAAGTGCTGGAGACCAGCTCGCAGACCATGCATAAATTATGATAAAGCAAGAAGTAGATCCGCCTCCAATTGGCCAGAAGCTTCTTGGAGGTTGGACTAGAGTTTAAGTTAAAGATCCGAACAAAGGACCTCATGATGAGATTTTTGTAGATTGCAGAAGATTTCAGATGATTTTTGTTTAGATTTTTGTTCAGTTCGTTCAGTTCTGTAACTGTTAAGTCCGTGCCTCTCTCTAAAACCAGCAAGAGAGTGTTCTGTTCGTGCTTATCTCTGAAACAAAGAACATGTCCACATGCTTCTACATCGACTAGACCAAATTCGACCAGCAGACGAATAACCCATCAAGATCAGGGTTACAATTCAGCTCAGTCAAGCCATCCGACTCGCCTTGCTTTCATTTCTTTCCTTTATTTCCTTTTTCGTAAAAGTCTCGTTTCAAAGTTAAGTTTGCAACGCGCTTCGAATTGGAAAAGACTCTCATTCGCTTGCTAATCACACGTGACCAGCGGCGAAACTTCCATCCCTGCACTTCAAAGACAACAAACCACGCAACGGACCCGGCCGGGAAACCCCCCTTCGACGCGACGCAGACAAAGGGAATTCCCTCAGCCACTACAAAGCGCAAGTACTCCAAGCTCTAACTGAACTGGTGCTTTAATGTTAATTGAATAACCTCTCTAAGAAATGAAGGTTCAAATTAATGCTTGGTGGTCCTTTCAGGTTATGTCTTACGTGCATATAGAAAGTTGAAACTTTCCCTCACTCTTTCCAACTCACTCTTTCCCTTTCGCGACTGTATGAATGTGTGTGTGCGTGTGCGTGATTATGTTTAGACCTTAGTTTTGTGCTTAGAATAGCTAATAAAGTCTTGTCCATATATTTGAAAAGATAAATCTTCTTGTGTCGTGTTTGCACATTTAATGTCTTGTACTGTTCGATTTAAAGTTACCTTGCTAAGACATAGTGTTTCACTATAGATTTGGTTATAATTACGGCCCGTTCAAATGAACTCTAAGCGAGTCATTTGCTCGGTTCAGTGATTCGGTTCCATAGATTCATTGCAAATCAATGAATCATTTCCCTTTGAGCTAAATTGGCCTTCGGCCCCCTTTAATACATTTTATGTATATTATTATATGTTGCATTTGCTACATATTGGTGGAGAATGCGGGCAGTTCAACCTAAATTGTGAACATATATCAAGAAATTATCTTTTCATTTTTGGTTGCGGATGCGAGATCCGAACCTCCGCGAGTCTGTGTGTGACGTATGCGCCGCGCGCACGTTGAATGTTGCTGCTGCTGTTATCTGTGAGTGAAACTCCCAGAGAAAGCTGAGAAGTCTAGCCTGTCGCCTATTTTGTTTTCTTTATACCTGCATAAGATATAAGACCTCACACTACAATAAGGTAGGAATTAAGCGTGTTCCTTATTTCCAGAAAAATACCTCGTTATAGCTGATCGACATCTGCGTGTTCCAGAGTCTTTCAGAGAGCTATAACGTTGTGTGTGTGTGTTTATATCAGTCAGAGAAGCCGAACGAAATCAAACTGCAGTAATTAAAACTAACCCTGTAAGTTAAAATATTTTCCTGACAGAGTGTCAAGCGTGTTCCTTGGCGAATCTAGTCATAAAAGCCTTAAAGTTATTTATCTGATCGCAGTGCGTGTTCCATTGCTTCTCCGTGATAAATGCTTAATGCTTTCTGTTTATTTTATTTGATCGCAGTGCGTGTTCCATTGTGATCTCCGTGATACACACTTAATGCTTATCTGTTTATTTGTTTGATCGCAGTGCGTGTTCCATTGTGAGCTCCGTGATACACACTTAATGCTTAGCTGTTTATTTGTTTGATCGCAGTGCGTGTTCCATTGTGATAAACACTTAATGCTTATCTGTTTATTTTATTTGATCACCAGTGCGTGTCCCACTATCCGTGATCCCCGTGATAAACAGTTAACGTTAAAGTTAATGCTTTTCTGTGTATGTCTATTCAATTATTTATCGTGTAAACACTGCGCGTGTCCGAGTGTAATTGAATAGGACTTATTTTAAGTTTTGTCCAAGTAAATCTTGTTTAGAAACTGAACCAAGTTAGACCCTGTTACTTTGTGTGAAACTAAACCTGCACAAAGACAGAGACGAGATCATCGTTCTCATACAGCGCACCGCCGCGTGCTTAAAGTTATCACTCTCAACAAACAAGTGAAGCCCCATGTCGTAAACCCAGCTACGAGTGGTGTATTTTATTTGAACAGTGTGAAATGCGCCGACATTTCCCGTAATATGGTCGATTGTTACTGTACATATGTTCTGTGAACATGGAAATGCGCTCACATTGCATGGAACTCTAACAAACTGACCAACTGCAATTCACGGTTCGCCCACTAGCGTTCGCTTGATCGCTTTAGTTGCTATCGTGACACGGAAGTCTTAACCAACACTTCCGGGTGAACTCTGACCCCCTCGAACTTTGTAAACAAACCAAACAAACGCTACGCTAAGCTAAGCTAGGCTAAGCTAAAGCTGAGCGGTTGTTTGCATTGAGGCCTGTGCTAAAGCCTTTAGCATCAGTTACTATTATCAATACTAACCCCAGCGGTTAGCTATAGTGTCTGTTTGAACAACGTTAAAGCGATTTAACCATTTAGACACCTATCGATCTTTTTCTTGTTTCTTCTTTTAACTTTATCACACTTTTCTTTAAAGATTAACCATATTTTTCCTGAAAGGAAAATACTGGTGTACCATTATTAATTGTTTTACCTGCATTTTACTTGAAAAAGAAAATACTGGTTTATGATTATTAATTGTCAAATTTCGAATTTGATTTTAAAAGAACAAGAAATTGCAAAATTGAGATTCTACCTTTCTAAACAGATCATTTCTAA